TAGAAAAAAATGAATATTATTTCCGAAATCTGTGTAACTGAATTATGTAAAATCCGTTATTAAAACCAAAACAACTTTTATCAAGTTTAAATTTGCAGGCCTGTGTTATTTTTTCCTTGATGTTCTCTTTTAAAGATAAAGTACGTATATTTTGCTGATATTAAATATATCTTTAGAAGATATGTAGTGCGGTTAATTCGTAATATTACACGTGTATTTAATATAATTAATGATAGTAAAGGCACTTTTAAAATTAAAAGAAAAAGTGTGTTAATTTTTTAGAATTGTAGAAAATAATCAGTGGATTATTGCGCACTGAGTTAACCAAGTTGGTGGCTAATTATCTTTGATGAATGTTGATGCCAAAGGGGCAGATTCTGTTTGATTTTGAGAGAGGAGGATATGAAAATATTATTACCCTTAAAAGCTGCCTATTTTAATTGTTTTATGAGGAGAATACAGATGTCTGCTTATGTTAAAGAAGATAATCAATGTGACAGATTTCACCAAAAAAAAGTGGTATATTTAAAAGTTAACTGGGTGAATTGAAGCTAGAGAAGAGTGACATTTATCCGTTGCATTTTTGTAATTAAAATAATATGTCAAGCTGTAGATATCACCAATATTATTATTAACGTTGTTATGTTTGCCATTTATCAGGATTCGAGAAGTGTTATGACCAATAGAATTAATGGTGCACTAGTACGAGTTGTCAAAAAGTGCCTTATTTGAAAGTGTTAAGGGGTTAACCTTTTAGCTCTGTTGTTAAAGCACTCGACTAGGTTCGAATATGAACCAAGGAAATGATAATAAATTTAAAATTATCACAAGAATAACTGTCATCCAATGTGGGACCACCCCACGACCTTGAGCTAAGACTCGAGGGTAGGCCTTGTTTGTAAGACTTTTTAATTTCTGTTGAGAGTATTGAGGGCAGCTCCAGTTTCTCTGATAATTGAGTATGTGTATTGACTGTGGATCACTAGAGATCCTGGGGTGATAGACATCAGTAGATCTTCCTGGTTCCAGGTGAATGCTGTACCAAGTGAACTAAAGAATTAACCCACTAGTACTTTCTGGTAAGACATATTTTAAGAACTCAAACTACCACATTCTTCCTCATATCCCATATTTCAGCTGACTCCAGCCATAAAATGCCATTGCCAATAGCAAGTATCCAGATGAATGGAGGCCTGGACACTTTACAATCGGGGGAAACCATTTGTTGCAGATGGAGGAGGACGTATGTTGTCTCTGGACCAAGCTGGCACAGAGATGAAAGGCTTTCACCATAGCCTGAGTTGACTGCTACATTGGAAGACCTGTTTTCGGGATTCAGTAGATATGATGTTCCAGTTTCACTGGTAAATTTAAGTAAATATTTGTATATTTTTCCTTCTTTTTTAAAATTTTGATAGCTGTATTATAATTAACATCAAAGTTCATCTTTATTTATTTTCATTTCAAAATGTTGCATAAAGTGTTTATCCTGTATGTATGTATTATTAGCATTAATGTGTTATATTTTACATAATATGTGCCCTTGTGTATATATGTGAATATATCAAATGGTTTATTTTGATTTTGTTCTGTATTTCAGTTTTGTAAAAAAAATATAATTTTGGTTTGTTTGAAGTTAAGCACGGGTATCGAAACCCAGTTTCTAGCGTTATAAGTCCGCAAACATACCAGTGTGACACTGGGGACAATAATTTTGGACTTTTTGTATTTGAATAAAGGGTGAGTGTTTTGTTTTTCATCTTATAATGTTAAAAACTTTGTCTTGTATTTGAAATGTATTGTTTTAATCTGCTTAGAGAAGGGTATATTTCAACTTTGTATTTTAGTATGAAGTTTTGTAAAATGTATATTTTATTTTTGAAAGCTTAAAGGGTAGTGTTATTACACTGTATTAGATTTTAATTCTCTCTTCTAATTTGTAATCCTTTTTTTTTCTTCTTTAAAGTGTAGTTCCTGCTCAAGAAATTTGTATTGTTCTGTAAGTGTTTTACAGGGGAAAAGTAAATTACACCAATTTCTAATTTATTGACTGATATGCAAGATGGCTTGAATGGATAACGAAGAAAACTTTATTCTGATTTTAACATAGTACCAAATGTGCAACGTTTCGAGAAGATTTTGACATGTTGAGTATGAACACTAGCTTGAGGGAACACTTAACTCTATCGGGACTGGTTGGTTGACATGTTGAGTATGAACACTAGCTTGAGGGAACACTTAGCTCTATCGGGACTGGTTGGAGGTTGGTACATATCCATAAGAGTACAGGGGCGAAATACTGAGTTCTTGATCAATACATGAGTAGCAAAAAACCATAGTGAACCTTACAATCTTTTAAGCCCTCCAACTGATACCACCACTCTGGCCAGTGGATATTGACTTAAATCTGGGAAATGGTGAAAGACTAGATATTGGAGGAGAGGTAGTTTTTTGGCTTTGTACAAACAATGACACTCACAGAACAAATGTAGTTGTCTCTGACCTCAGGTCTGATATTAGTATCCTCACGATGGACATACTGCACAAATTATCCATCAGTTTTTCCCACACAACAGGTGAGCTGATGTTCTGTGGGAAGTCATCCAGTGTTGGTCAGATCAAATCCAGGGACAATAGAGGGAAAATAGTACCCGTGTCAAGTGGTGTTCCTTAGTTTACTCTGAACAAAGTCAATTGTATCAGTACCTTATAATGTGGTTATAGAAGTCATGCATGAAATAAATTGTTTCCTGTTCAGAAAGTAGGCAACATTAGCTCAGGCAATCATATATTTGATAAGCGATGAATTTCCGGTATTATTTTGTAATTAGGGTTGATCATCTATCCAGTTGTACATTGGAATAGTTACAAGCATGGTAAGAAAAAGAAACAACTAACTTTAGCAGTAATCCTGACGTTGTATCGCAGCTAAAAGCAAAAACGGGACTACTAACACATCATTGGTTGAGGATCATGTGAAAACAATCCAGTGATTTGTTAGTTGATTATCGAACATCGGTAACCCAACATCACATAGACAAGGGTATGCATGCCCGATAAAGCTTCCTTGTAGTACTAGAAAGGTTACTAGTGTTGAAATACAGTGGGTATTAAAGGATGTAGTCCTGTAACTCTTGGGGAATGCTTGATCAGTTCCAGTAATGATTGTCAGGAAGAAGGAAGGTATGTCAAGGTTCTGCATCGACTTTAGACGAGTTACCAAAATACTTGCATTGATGCCTTTCCTTGAACACGAACAAATGAATGTCTGAATATATTACAAGGTTCCTTTGGTTCAATACTTTAAATCTACCATCCTGATAATGGAAAGTCAAGCTGGATGATGAGAGTAGGCCTAAGAAATGTGGACAGACTATCTTTCTGCAAGGTAAAACCTTGTCCATTCATAAATGTCCCGATCCTGGACACAGTATGAAAGTTAAGAGCATAGCCATTTATGCCATAGCAAAGATCAGCAATGAAGTTGGAGATTTCTCTGGTGGATGGATGACACGATTAATACTCCAGTTGCTTCAAGAAGAGCAAGTGAAGGACACAACTTAGCGTGGGTGCTCCATGCCATGTAGCAAGGTGAAGCCTAAACCACACTAATAGAAAACTATAGCACGTGTATAGTCAGTTACAAGTACAAGAAAATGTTCTATACCATTATTATAAGACACTGAGCAGTGGTTCTCTTATTGTGTTGCAATTAGTGGTTCCCAGAGGTTTATTGAAAACATTATCCAGACTTTGAATAGCATAAATACTGTGTTAGATGGGGATTATTCTGTGAAATGAGATAATCGTTGATGTCTTAGTACTGAATTTTGTATACCACACAGAGAAAGAATCAAGTGAAAGAGGACAAACACCACCAGAGAATTATTGGATCTTCACTGCAGTGGAGGCTGCAAGAAGTCATCAGTACATACTCATCATTACCAACTGTTTTACAAAAGGACCCAAAGCTTATCCATTGGTTATTACATTAGCAGTACAGTCTGTTACTGATGTGATATCAGAGAACAGGATATCATGGTTTAGAGCACCTGTACATATAAGGGAGCTAATTTCAACAACTAATTGTCCGTGAAGTTTTTAGTATGGGAAAGACATGAACTTCAAGTTAACACCCACAGTTCCATTGTTTTGGCAGAATGGGTAATACAGACTACCAAGCAAAGTTTGCTAATTCCAGCATTACCAACTGGGATGAACACTTACCATATGTAATGATGGTATATAGAGGGATGGAACACGGATCTATAGGCTTCTTCCTGTTGATGTGAGAACACTTGCTTTATGTAATGATGGTGCATAGAGGGATGTAACACGGATCTACAGGCTCCTTCCTGTTGTTTGTGAGAACACTTGCCTTATGTAATGATGGTGTATGGAGGGATGTAACACGGATCTATAGGCTTCTTCCTGTTGATGTGAGAACACTTGCCTTATGTAATGATGGTGTATAGAGGTATGTAACACGGTTCTATAGGCTTCTTCCTGTTGATGTGAGAACACTTGCTTTATGTAATGATGGTGTATGGAGGGATGTAACACGGATCTATAGGCTTCTTCCTGTTGATGTGATGCATGATCCTCCTCCTTGAGAATATATATTATCTTTGCTCATACAAGTAATTTCTCGCCTAATACAGAAAAATACATTTGAAACCATGTTAGATTCCATGTTCGGTGTTTGGACACCCCGAAACCAGCATAACTTAATGAGAGTAAATCAAATGACAGACTGTTTTCCATATTCACTTTTATGTAAGTGAGATTTGTTTAATAACACTGTTTAGGTAATGTGTATTTTTTTTTATATGTAAGCCACACTTTATTGTGGTTAATTTTCATGAACTCAGAATATTATGTATATGACAATAATGTATTCCAATAGCCCGATGTGACTTTATTCCAATAGCCCGATGTGACTTTGCTATAAGAAAAACAAACAAACATCCATGTTTTAGTATGTCCCTATGTTTTCCCGTTTTTGTTAATGGGGTGACCAGGTAACGAGGGTAACAAATTCACTCTGCGAGAATTGACTAACATGTATGTACATTCTTTCGTGTTTCATTAAAGATTTATTTATTATTCTTATACACTGATTGACCCTATACAATATGCATATAACTACTGATTTTTATTACTTCGCATCAATCTCTCTCTCTCTCTCCAAACTTAGAAAGGAATGTAATTGAACTTGTGTGGTTTTGATAAAAAAGTGTTCTTGTACACTATTATGAACTTCTGTTTGGTCCCTTTTCTTGATTCTGTACGGTCAGAAATTCAGCTGGATCCTACATGACATGTTTTATAAAAGTGTTTTATAGCTTCTTGAAAGCTCACAAAATAATATTTTTTTCTCTAGTGACATGTTATCAAAACGAGGAGACATCGGATAATAAAAGCATATTTATACGCATAAAATGAAACACAATTTTTTTTCACTTTGGTTATTTAGGAGGTAGAAACAAATGATATTTATAGAAGCTATATATATATATATATATGTTCAAAGAAAACTACCGGTTATCAAGTCTAACATGTTTACAAATATGCTAGTGAATGTTTTCGTAAGAGCAATAAACCATTCTTGTATGAATATGAACACGACTGGAGCTCTTAGAAACTAATTTAAGACGAGGCTCCAAACACAGAGTATGTTGTAAATTAAAAACAATGCTTAAAACAAACAAACAAAACACAATTTACATAGTTCCATAAGTAAAGTAATGTATGCTACATTTAAAACCAAAAAAAACAAAATTTTCTCTTTTGAAATTAAAAAAAAATAAAGCAAATAAAAAGTATATACAGATATTTAACATTGATTTCGTAGGAACAAATAACATTTTACACTTGTTAAATACCCAAGTAAAGGACTTCTCGTAACATGAACGAGAAGCTATTGGAGCGCCCCCTACAATGGTGTATTCTGGGTTTCAGATTTAGGCGCTGCTGTGATATCTTCTTTGGTGCTCTTCATGACAAGCGCATCCATATCTACTGAACTCGGAACGTAAGAAATGTTGTAGACGCCATTTCTATCCTTCTGAAAATTCTCTAAACTTTCAGAAGTCATGCTGGTCGCTAGGGACAAGTCACGAGGAAGGATAGACTGAAAAAATGATAATAATAGTAATTAGTTACACGAGAGTAAATAACAAGAAATCTGGTAATCTAAGTGAAACTACCCCAAGGAACAGCTTTTATGGCGAATTCTTAAAATCTTTAAAAACTAGAAAACAAATAAATTAACAATGTTAAAGACTGCAAGATTCAATAAATAAAACATACCTAAGATCTTAATAACACGCATAATTTCTTACTAAAATGCTCACGTGCTTAATAACAATTGTACGTTATCATGAGCATGCCATGTTTTAACAAGAGGGTGTATCTTTTTATCAACATCCACGGGTTCTTACTTATTAAAATCCATCTTGTTAGACATGCGTGTCTTCTTCCCTTTAAGAATCCCCCCCAGTGGCAGAGAGGCATGTTTGAGGACTTAGAACGCTAGAAATCTGGTTTCGATACCCATGGTGGGTAGAGCACAGATAGCCAACTGTATAGCTTGATGCTTAACTTCAACCAACCAAACAAAACCCTTTAAGAAAATGAAACTCACCACGTTTTGACCAACCCCAAACCTGAGCTTCTTCCGGATTTTGGCAGGAAGGCAGCAACATACTATATCAAAGACTGGACAAATCAATTTTGGATCGATGTCTTCTGGTTTATTTGGACCTGCAATTATTTCATCCGTTTTAGTCAAACTTTGCTGTAAAGTTTAACTCCAGTTTCCTAAAATATAATTACAACATACCCCAAATAGTTCAGGTATTACTCTAAGGTTTTCAAAACACTGAAAGTTTTTCATGTTTCTGAATTCAACATTATAGCTTCGAAAATATGGTTTTGATAAATTGGTAACTGCAAGACAAGTCTCCACAATGTGCTTACTTTGATTTTTACAGAAGCTTTGCATAATGTATCATTTGTTGTAATTTTTATCGACAATAAATGTTGACTAAGGCTACTTGTTTAATGATGATATTACAGGTTTCTTTTTACCAACAGTAAAAGTTGAAAATATATTATCTGATTCGTCATACTCGCTACTATTGACTGTAGTTTTGCATGTTTAAAATTCAACAGCACGATTTGGATCAACAAACGAAAAAAAAAATATAATTCGTAGCATGAATTTAGGTTTAAAATCTTTCAAAAAAAAAAATGGTGGACCTGAAAAAAAACCCAGCACGGTCTCTTATAATGGTTGTGTGAAAACAATATCTATGGTGTTTCTAAGTCCTTTTAACTCATCGTTTGATAAATTAAGCTAATATAAGTACGTGAATAACATTGTTTCATCGCACCTAATATTTTATTTGGTATTATATATACTAGAGCAACTGTTTGATGATTATATTACAGATTTCTTTCCACCAAAGGTAACATTGAAAATATAATCTGTGACGTAGAGGCCTAATATATTTTTTTATTCGCCGTACCCTTTGTCAGAGAGTGACGAATGGCCAGTATTCTGAAGTGGCTAATGTTGTGGTCATGATCGTTGATATGTTCAGTCACAGGTTTATCTGGATCACGATTCTGGATGTTACGGAAGTACACACGTGCTCGTTCAGACAACATTCGACCAGTTTATCCTACGTACAGCTGTCCACAATATAAACGAGTAATGCAGTAAACTACACACTTGGATGTATAAGTGAACGACAGGTTGATTGTGTACGTGGAGTTGGGTTCAAATACAGAAGTACTGGTGATGATGTAACGGCATGTGTTACATCGTCAACACGTACCACACTGAAGATGAGTGATGTCTTCTGACGTCTTCAACCGTTTGGAACTAATACGTCTTAGGTTTTTCCGTGTCCATTCGAACTGATTGGTCTATCTCTAAACGTATCTCCCAAAGCTTTGTCGTTTTGAAGTATCCCATAGTTGCACGAAGTCTGACTTGGTACACTAGACGGAAGGCAGCTAGTCGACAGCACCCATCGCCAACTCCTTGGCTACTCTTGTCTGGCCAAATAGGGGGTTTTCACCGCCAGTCTTACAGCGCACTTTGGACCTCAAAGCGAGGATCACTTTTTTGACTCGCTGGCAAACCATGAATAGGAGAATTCGCGCACGCTGACCACAAGGTCCGTCCGGTCCAAGTTTTATGTAATATGGATTACTATGAGTCTGCTATTACTTCCAAACCTTTTTAAAATGCTAGTGCAACGCTTATCTGTAAAATTGAACACATGTCAAGTAAGTACAGTTTTTATCCATGAGGAAACTAACGGCTGTTCAAAAATTTGTTAACGTATCCATTATCTTCAGTGGCGACATCTCGAGGTCCAGATAACAAATGTAAGTTTTATAAACTACACAACCTTTACATTGCTCTTTATGCGCAACAATGAATTATTCAGTTTGTTGTTTTTTATATTTTAAATACTTATGTCCTAAAATGAAGAATACTTCAGTTCATATACACGTGACTATTAACTTTCAAGATGTCACCTCATGATCTACGTTTGATCATCTACATATTTTAGATAGTTCGTGACTTATACTTGATCATACAGATATTACAGGTACCTTCGTGACTTATCTTTGACCATATAAAGATCTTAGGTACCTCGTGACTTATGTTTGATTATATAGAAATATTAGATACTTCGTGACTTATGCTTGACCATATAAAGATCTTAGGTACCTCGTGACTTATGTTTGATCATATAAAGATTTTAGGTACCTCGTGACTTATGCTTGAACATATAAAGATCTTAGGTACCCTCGTGACTTATGTTTGATTATATAGAAATATTAGATACTTCGTGACTTATCTTTGACCATATAAAGATCTAATCTGTTCTGTAATTTACAGCTAATCAAAGATAAAAATATCTAAAGTATCCACGTGACCGACCTGTACTTACACAGGTCTAAAGTTTACAGAAGACTTATGAAATTATTTTGAACCATAAATAAGCACATGAATTATCTAATACCCAAATAAATGTATAAAATACTCGTGTAACTTTCCTGTTAGGTAATTAGCTATAAGTATATTCATGAACCAGGTCTTAGTAATGTGAATAAAACATATCCGGCCTTGAGAAAATAGATCATGAGGACAAAGCATGCCCTATTTGTGTGAAAATGGGTTGTAAGTTTAGAGCGCCTCCTAGTGAAAGTTTGGACTTACTTTGTCAAGTATACAAACATATCTAGCATGTGCACGGGGTTTATCTATACTGAAAGAAACGAACAAACTGACAAACTTGAAGCTTGTTCCACGAAGACAGTCGTAATCCGTCGTGACCTACTTTTGATTTTAATTTAATAATAATTATTTAAAAAAAATAATGACATACCTGTGACGAAACTAATTATCAGTCCGAAGATGAGAACAGAAGTAAACCCGATGGCACTATACCACATGTAAGAAATTCTGAAGAGCGGGAAGATTTCAGCGCTGCAAAAGAAACAACAAAAAAGGAACATCTCAAAAAAAAACATCAACTGAGACAACAAAAGTCAATTTTTAAAGACAGTGTCCTGTGAGGACCCAAATTGAGGACCTCAATTTTCGATTATTTATATCTTGAAATCTAAAGAAATATATATAATAATAATAATAAGATGAGAAAGAGGGTAGAGTTAAGACTCCCCGCCCCCTCAGTGATCACGTTGTCAACTCAGTTTAATAACAATAACCACTGAAACTTTAAAACCATTTCAATTTCTGAATTGGAACCACATAAATTTGTCCAATGGGTGTTTTTTAAGGCTTACACGTTTAACTGAAATATTTGGTTTGGTTTGAATTTCAAGCAAAACTATACGAGGGCTATGTGCGCTAGCCGTCTCTAATTTAGCAGGTAAAGACTAGAGGGAAGGCAGCTAGTCATCACCACCCACCGCCAACTCTTGGGCTACTCTTTTACCGACTAATAGTGGAATTGACCGTCACATTACAATGTCTCCACGCCTGAAAGAGCGAGCATGTTTGGTGGAACGGGGATTCGAACCCACGATCCGCAGATTGCGAGTCGAGAGACCCCTAACCACCAGTCCATGACAGGCCTTAACTATAAAATAAACACACTACCGTATCGTGACGTTATCATTAGAAATTGACAACTAAAAGTATCAATTGGGAACAGTGGGTTACAGTTAGGGTTATCACCTCTCTTTGGATCTGTTTCATCATAATATGTAAGGGCGTTAATGACTGACCTACTGTACTATATAATTCCTTCACTTCGGCGGAACTAAAGGAGCGTCATGTAATTTCATGTTTAGACAAGCTGCATAAACAAGCAATACGTTTTGTTTTTAATTATAGTAAGTACGAACTTCAATGACTCAATTTCTTTACAGTTTTAAAGGAAATAGATACGGCATAAAGTCTAGTGTATCTCCAATACATAAGTCATAAACGTGATGTTGATGATCTGGGAAAAATAATAGTGAAAGACAATTTATGGTTATTTAAAATATAACTACTTTTGTATCCCTACATCGGGACTATCTTTTCATTTAGATTTTGCTAATTAGTACCTATCACAACGAATGGGTGATAATCTTTACAGGCTATGTTATGATAATCTTTACAGGCTATGTTATGGTAATCTTTACAGGCTATGTTATGATAATCGTTATAGGCTATGTTAGGGTAATCTTTACAGGCTATGTTATGATCATCTTTACAGGCTATGTTATGATAATCTTTACAGGCTATGTTTTGATAATCTTTACGGGCTATGTTTTGATAATCTTTACGGGCTATGTTTTGATAATCTTTACAGGCTATGTTTTGATAATCTTTAC